ATGACCTGGACAAAATAAGTATCTGGAGCACCACTTGGCAAATGGAATTTAATGTTATAAATGCCATGTTATGGAATGTGGAATAGGAGAACATACACCCCACACAACCTATATATTACAGTATGTGAAAAATCTTTAAAGAATTCTGATAAAGAAAGAGATCTAGGGGTGGATCTAGATAGAAAAATATCACCTGAGGACCACATAAAGAATATTGTGCGAGGAGCCTATGCCACGCTTTCTAACTTCAGAATTGCTTTTAAATACATGGATGGCGATATACTAAAGAAATTGTTCACAACTTTTGTTAGGCCAAAGCTAGAATACGCAGCGGTTGTGTGGTGCCCATATCTTAAGAAGCACATCAACAAACTGGAAAAGGTGCAAAGACATGGTACTAAGTGGCTCCCAGAACTGAAGGGCAAGAGCTCCGAGGAGAGGTTAGAGGCATTAAATATGCCAAAACTAGAAGACAAGAAAAAGAGGTGATATGACCACTACATACAAAATAGTAACAGGAATTAATAAAATCGATAGGGAAGATTTCCTGAGACCTAGACCTTTAAGAACAAAAGGTCATAGATTTAAACTAGCTAAATACAGATGCCGAAGAAATATAAGAAAATTCACTTTCGCAAACAGAGTGGTTGACGGTTGGAACAAGTTAGGTGAGAAGGTGGTGGAGGCCAAGACCGTCAGTAGTTTCAAAGCGTTATATGACAAAGAGTGCTGGGAAGACGGGACACCACGAGCGTAGCTCTCATCCTGTAACTACACTTAGGTAATTACTTAGGTAATTACATAACACTGACACACACTCAGACATAAGAGAAATCGGTTTTGAGGCCCCAGTGGGAATGAGCGACCACAGTGTATTGGTGTTTGAGTACCTGATTGAAGAAGGGTTATTGAACTCGAGGAGGGATACCGAAACCAAAAGGTTAGCATACCGAAAGGGAAACTATGAGGAGATAAGAAAATTCCTAACAGATATAGCATGGGAAACAGAGCTCAGGGAAAAGATGGCCCAAGATGATATGGACTACATCACGCAAAAGTGCAAGGACGCAGCAAACAAGTTTGTCCCAGCCCAAAAGGAAAACAGTGAAATGAAGATGAGAAACCCATAGTGTAATCAGAGATGTAGGCTAGCTAAGCAGCAAAGTAAAAGGGCATGGAAAAACTATAGGAATAACAGGACACTGGATAGCAGAGAAAGATACCAGAATGCCAGGAATGAATATGTCAGGATGAGAAGAGAGGCAGAAAGACAATACGAAAATGACATCGCAAGTAAGACAAAGACTCAGCCTAAATTGCTGCATAGCCACATCAGGAGAAAAACAACAGTAAAGGAACAGGTTGTATATTAAGGATAGGGGGCAGAAGGATTCACTACAAACGACAAGGAAGTGTGTGAGGAACTGAATAAGAAATTCCAGGAGGTCTTCACCTTAGAGCAAGGAGAAATCCCAGAGATAAGAGAGGGAATAGCTAACCAGGAACCACCGGAAGAGTTTGAGATTACCAGCGGGGAAGTAAGGAAGTGTTTACTAGAGTTGGATGTGACAAAGGCTATAGGCCCAGATGGAATCTCCCCTTGGATACTAAAGGAAGGAGCAGAAGAACTGTGCCTACCACTCTCCATAGTGTATAACAAATCACTGGCAACAGGGGAACTGCCAGAAATTTGGAAAGCAGCTAACGTAGTCTCGATATACAAGAAAGGGGATACACAGGAGGCACTGAATTACAGGCCAGTGTCCCTAACCTGCATACCATGCAAGCTGATGGAGAAGATTGTGCGAAGAAAGCTAGTGGAGCACCTGGAGCGAAAGAACTTTGTAACACAGCAGACAAGTCAGTTAACTAATAATGACGAATTATCAGATAACTGATTATAGGACGAGTAGTATTTATATATACTCAATATTAATATCTGTACTTTATTATTATTAGCTATCCCATGGGTTCAGGGATGGCAGGTCCTGCCTCACAGGGTTGCTTGAATTCTACGACCAGGCAACAAAAATAAGGCAAGAAAGAGAAGGGTGGGCAAACTGCATATTTTTGGATTGTCAGAAAGCCTTTGATACAGTGCCACACAAGAGGCTAGTGAAAAAGCTGGAGATGCAGGCTGGAGTGAAAGGGAAGGTACTCCATTGGATACTGGAGTACCTAAGTAACAGGAGACGAGTCTGTGGGAGGGGTGAGGTCTCAGATTGGCGAGACGTTACGAGTGGAGTCCCGCAGGGGTCAGTCCTTGAACCTATACTGTTTCTGATATATGTAAATGATCTTCCAGAGGGTATAGAATCGTTTCTCTTAATGTTTGCCGATGATGCAAAAATTATGAGGAGGATTGAAACTGAGGACGATAGTAGGAGGCTACAAGATGACCTAGACAGACCGAGTGAATGGTCCAACAAATGGCTGTTGAAGTTCAACCCGAGTAAATGCAAAGTAATGAAGCTAGGCAGTGGAAACAGGAGGCCAGACACAGGATACAGA